AGATACGTATCGATTGAAATCGCTGGAGAGTAGTAGATTGCGATATTACGATAACAGATAGTAGTAGAGTAGGAGATTGCGCTGACAAGATTAGATACGTATCGATTGAAATCGCTGGAGAGTAGTAGATTGCGATATTACGATAACAGATAGTAGTAGAGTAGGAGATTGCGCTGACAAGATTAGATACGTATCGATTGAAATCGCTGGAGAGTAGTAGATTGCGATATTACGATAGTAGGATAGTAGTAGAGTAGGAGATTAGGATAGTAGTAGATTAGGATAGTACGCGACAATGAAAAACATATGTATTGACGGGAGATTAGGATAGTAGTAGAGTAGGAGATTGCGCTGACAAGATTAGATATCGATTGAAATCGCCGGAGAGTAGTAGATTGCGATATTACGATAGTAGGATAGTAGTAGAGTAGGAGATTAGGATAGTAGTAGATTAGGATAGTGCGCTGACAAGATTAGATATGTATTGATCTATTCGCTTGAAGTCGCCCAATCTACTACTCTCCAGCGATTTCAATCGATACGTATCCAATCTTGTCAGCGCAATCTCCTACTCTACTACTATCCTAATATCCTATCTATCCTAATCTCCTGAGTCGCGAACTATGAACGCGGCCATTTTGCTGGAGATTTTGTGACTCGAAACTATATTTTGAAAAAGAAACAGCGTGACATATTAGACTGTTCAGAAGTTTAGGGTGATATGCGATTATGGGAAAAGCTCATACACTTTCTGGATGAGAATTCAATGCGTCGTGAATTAGCGGTTGCGTACACAAGAGCTCTACAGGTAAGCATTTCTCATGTTTTTAAGCGTTAAGCTCATTCTCTGGGATCATATATCTCCTTTATGGGCCTAAGCTTTTAAGGTGATGGCAATTGACCATTACTGTTAGTTGGCACTTGCTTCCATGAGATCTATCTTTCAGTGGCTACCTGAAAAAGATGCTAATCGCTATACCACGGGACCAGCGGTGGGATGGAAGTGGTGTAGTGACAAGTGGCGCTGCTTACCACGCGAGCGGTCCGGGGATCAAATCCTGGGTCGTGAGTCGCCCGGGCCAACCAAGCCTTCCATCCCTCCGGGGTCGGTTAATTGGTACCAGACTTGTCTGGGAGGATAAAAACACTGACTTGTACATCGGCTGGCCCCCGCAAGTCATTGTATAGGCCACATCGCATTCAAACGCCACTACGAATGTACAAATGGAAGTAGAATGCGTGCCGCATCCCAAAAAGGGATTGATCAACGGCAAATGCTTTATCCTTCCTTTTATGAGAAAGGTCACTGAAAGTCAGCTCTGACCTCCACAGAATTTGTCAGCAGTTTTTCTTGCACACGGTTTTTGAGGCACTGTCGCAGCATTAAAACTCCAAAAACTGAAGGTTCATGCTCATATTAAGAGATTATTCGGCACCCAAATTAGGAACATGGCCTTTGATTTGCTCCAGTTGGTGCCATTTTCGTCAATTTGATGCCACAATTTTTTTGCCGAATTCGCCGTAAACTTTCTTAAATGGGAATTTTGATGTCGTGACAACGAATATAGCTCTCTTACGTTTGACGTTGGCGCACAATTCCTATAGCTGAGGTTTCAACGATTTTTTAATTTTTGTAGGCTTCTGAGGCTGTGATGATGCAATAGTGTGGGTTTTATTTCGGTTCTGCAATTGGAGCGCCCAAGAAATGCAACCTGACTGCTAGATTGCAGAAGTAAGAACTCTTGGAGCGTGGTTTCCTGTACCGAAATAACCTTATAGCTGAATTTCCACCTATATCCTCGAGTTCACAACATCTTTCTCGATTGTTCTGTTTCTTAGGGCGGAAGTGGTGGCAAGTGGCACGCTTACCACGCGAGCGGTCCGGGGATCAAATCCTGGGTCGTGAGTCGCCCGGGCCAACCTTCCATCCCTCCGGGGTCGGTTAATTGGTACCAGACTTGTCTGGGAGGATAAAAACACTGACTTGTACATCGGCTGGCCCCCGCAAGTCATTGTATAGGCCACATCGCATGTACAAATGGAAGTAGAATGCGTGCCGCATCCCAAAAAGGGATTGATCAACGGCAAATGCTTTATCCTTTATCTTTTATCCTGTTTCTTATTTAGATACATGGAAAGAACGAAAAACTCCGAAGAGATTTCGCTCTTTGGCAGTTCTTTCTCTGGTGCAAGTCCACAGAATGCTCGTACGCAGGTCTTGACCTCATTACGTTTGTTGCCGCAGTCGTCCATGCTCTACGTGGCTTTCTTCATTATTGAAATCAATTTTGTTGATAAGTAGGTTTTAGTGGTTGTTTGCACTCTAGTTGTCTACCATTTAATTCCTTTTAATTCGACCTCTTACATAGGGTGCTGAAACGTCGGAAATTCATTACTGAAGGAGAAGATAAACGCGGTGCTGGGTCGGCCGAGGATGATTCTGAACGTGAGCGATTTCATTACGACTTCTTATCGTCACTTTAATTTGAATTGCATCAAATAGGTGTGTACGATGAGGAAGTGGACGACACCATAATGAATTTGGATGTCGTCAAAGCAGTTGTTGAGCAGCGTTGTCCGCTGTACCCAGTAGTGCCGCTTCAGGTTGGTTCTTCCAAATTGAGCTGACGTTTACTTGTTATGATGTACAACTCCCTCTGGTGTTCTTTCAACCACTTAGTAAAATTAGCCTTAAAGAACACGCGATGAGTTCAGGGT